AAACACCATGATTGAACTGAACACAGAGTAAAATAGAGATAAGTGATATCTGATTTCATTATCAAAACTTTTAGAAATCTTAATGTGATACTAAAGTAAAGAGATTGCAAGTCTATGCTGTGTTTTTCCTCACATGCATACATATGTTTATCTTGCTCATCATTTATAGCAACATTTCCACTGGGTTCCCAATGGCATCAGTGGCACCTAATCCACAGTTTTAAGTTGCAGCATCCATTTACCCAACTGTCCCACCTTTAAATGAAGGTAGAATGATCACTAGATGATCATTCTACCTTCATTTATAAGAGTAAACATAATTGGACAAACATTGAGGAGTTTACATTATTTCAAGTAGCTGGTTTCTGATCTATGAAGCCTTTAACTTTGGAAACAATTTGATTGCTTTATAATTTCTCCTCCTTCAAATTCAGCTGTTTCCTGCAGTTTAAAGCTGTGTAGCATGCATAGTTCGACGAAAGGAATCCAATTAACTTCCTTTCATTAGGGAGACTTTAAACAACAAACTTAATCTCTTTTTTTATCCTTGAGATGTCATCACACACTCACCGGCCACTTTATTAGGTACCCCATGCTAGTAACGGGTTGGACCCCCTTTTGCCTTCAGAACTGCCTCAATTCTTGGTGGCATAGATTCAACAAGGTGCTGGAAGCATTCCTCAGGGAGTTTGGTCCATATTGACATGATGGCATCACACAGTTGCCGCAGATTTGTCGGCTGCACATTCATGATGCGAATCTCCCGTTCCACCACATCCCAAAGATGCTCTATTGGATTGAGATCTGGTGACTGTGGAGGCCATTTGAGTACAGTGAACTCATTGTCATGTTCAAGAAACCAGTCTGAGATGATTCCAGCTTTATGACATGGCGCATTATCCTGCTGAAAGTAGCCATCAGAAGTTGGGTACATTGTGGTCATAAAGGGATGGACATGGTCAGCAACAATACTCAGGTAGGCTGTGGTGTTGCAACGATGCTCAATTGGTACCAAGGGGCCCAAAGAGTGCCAAGAAAATATTCCCCACACCATGACACCACCACCACCAGCCTGAACCGTTGATACAAGGCAGGATGGATCCATGCTTTCATGTTGTAGACGCCAAATTCTGACCCTACCATCCGAATGTCGCAGCAGAAATCGAGACTCATCAGACCAGGCAACGTTTTTCCAATCTTCTATTGTCCAATTTCCATGAGCTTATGCAAATTGTAGCCTCAGTTTCCTGTTCTTAGCTGAAAGGAGTGGCACCCGGTGTGGTCTTCTGCTGCTGTAGCCCATCTGCCTCAAAGTTCGACGTACTGTGCGTTCAGAGATGCTCTTCTGCCCACCTTGGTTGTAACGGGTGGTTATTTGAGTCACTGTTGCCCTTCTCTCAGCTCCAGCCAGTCTGGCCATTCTCCTCTGACCTCTGGCATCAACAAGGCATTTCCGCCCACAGAACTGCCGCTCACTGGATGTTTTTTCTTTTTCGGACCATTCTCTGTAAACCCTAGAGATGGTTGTGCGTGAAAATCCCAGTAGATCAGCAGTTTCTGAAATACTCAGACCAGCCCTTCTGGAACCAACAATCATGCCACGTTCAAAGTCACTCAAATCACCTTTCTTCCCCATACTGATGCTCGGTTTGAACTGCAGGAGATTGTCTTGACCATGTCTACATGCCTAAATGCACTGAGTTGCCGCCATGTGATTGGCTGCTTAGAAATTAAGTGTCAACGAGCAGTTGGACAGGTGTACCTAATAAAGTGGCCGGTGAGTGTGGTCGCATCTTCTATTGGCTTTTTTGGTTGTCTCCTTTTATTCCCCCTCCACCACTACTCCTCTAATATTAAGTTCACAGTATCCTTTCATTAAAAAAAATAATAATAATTTGAAAGAAAATGTGCTGGGAGAATTTTTTAACCAGTCTTGTTAATTTTCAGATGTTTTTCCATTTAATTTCTCTTTCTATTGATGATTAAAACTGTAGCGTTCTCAGCAGGATTGAGAGGATAGTGGGGAATGCTGTGTGCTCTTTGGGAGAGCTGTTTGTGTGGAAACCTTTAGAGGCCCGATCACCATAAATACCAAAGTATCCAGGCAGGATGATGAACTAATAGACAACATGATTCCCTTTACCTGTCCGTTGGTTTTAACATTGTTGTTTACATGAATTCTAATTCATAAAGAAGTTTTGGCTAACAAACAGAGAATTTTTTTTCAAAATAATAATTATATATATGTATAATTTATGATTTTGGAATCTTTTAAGTTGAAGGACCTTTTAAGGGGGTCAGAGCGGCGGAGAACTCGTGATCGAATTAACAACCTGTTCAACCAGTAGCCTGATTGTTGGGACTGTTAGGAGCAACGGGGATTATTGCGCCTAATAGGAGCTGGACGGAAGGATCTGCAGAGGCGCTCCTTTGTGCATTTACAGTAGCAGCCATTCAAGATTTCTCCACGTTCCTTGATGGGTCCTCGGCTGGTCCCCCTAAGATTCATTTTTAAACATCATCTTTGTACTAAAATATTATTTCTGTCATGATTTGTGGACATTAAGATCTAAAGAGAAGCGTCATCTCCTTGTCAGACCCTGTAATTCAGTGAAATGTTGGAGTCAGAGTAAAAAAATAAAGCAGGATGGGGTCACTGCAGTGGCTGGAAGGTGGAGGAGCCATTTTAAATGGCTGCTACTGTAGGACAGGTGTGTGAAACACATGTTCATATCTATCCACTACAGCAGGGATAACAAATTAAAAATTTGCAGGGTCCGAATAAAGAAAATCAACAACCAGTAAAGGTCCAGAGACATTTTAAATCATAATCTGTTACTTTAAACAGAATTTACCACTGAAATAAAATGCAGGTTTTTATGCATCCATGTTACACATTGAATTTTTAAATAGAATTTTTAAAATCTATAGTGTTTTCTGAAGTAGAGAACAACAATTCAATTTGGTATATAGACAATTCACATATAGACGAATCACATATTTTATAAACCACCTGAACGGACAGTTTTTTTCTTTCCTTTTTCTGTCTTAATGTTGGCAGTGGGCTTTAGGCTGCCCTGCAAGGCTTTAAACCTGGGTTTAAATGGAGACTAAGATCTAAAGAATTCAGTTAAAGGACGAGTCAGAGTAAAAAAAAATATGCACGCCCAGGTGAAGGCCAGTGGCTGGAAGTTGGAGGGGATATTGCTGGGAGATGGAGGGAATTGGGCTGCCATTCAGCTGGTGTTTGACTGGGAAGGGACATTTTTATTGGCTGCTACTGTAAGATAAAACATTTTTTTTTCTCAATCTGCTCTATCCACGACTCCTCAAGTGGAAAAGTTTTAGTTTAATTCTGTAAAAAATTGTTTCTGAGGAACGTTTGGCTGTTCATCAAAAAAAATAAAAAATAGAAACAGATTAATCAGTTTGCAAAATAATACATCGTGTAAATGATGGATTAACTATTATAGTGGTAGAAGAATAAGAAAACTTTATTTTTATTGGATAGCACTTTATTTATCACTAGCAACAACATTAGAGGAGAGGAATCCTTTGTATTATTAACTCTACTACATCTTTAAAAATGTTCCTGTTATTACAGACAATTGTGACAAAGTGGTTCAGTTTGTGTTCACCGCTTGTCCCTCATTCTTATTTCTGATTCATAATGCAGAAATGAATCAGAACTTTGCCTCATTTACTATCCTGGATTTGTTTGTATTATGTTACAGTTTCCATCTATTTATATGTTTGGGTTAAAGCTGCTACTTCTGGATTATTGATTGAACTTGTTTATTTTGTTTCAAAGTAAATTCATGGTATTTGTTTTCCTTTTTACTCACCATTGTTTTTCCCAGTATTTCCTGCTAAATTGATAGATGATGATGATGTCATTGATTACCTTACTGGGTTCTGAAAATTAGAGGGTTTTCTTTGGAATAATGTTTTGTTTGTTTTTCTTAAAAGTAACTTTTGGAGTTATCTGGTATCACATTTTTTATTTTGCAGACTCTTTCATTATGTAGATGAGTTTGTAAATTAGATTAATAACTTTACTCTTGTTTCTCTGTTTAGACTTTTTTGTTTTTGTTCTACCTGTTTAATTGTGGATTGGTCCACTTGAGTGCAGGTTATACTAGCACATTTAGGCTGTGTTCGAATTTACGGGCTGCTTCCTCTAAGGTTTTTTTTTGCTCTCTCTCGGATTGCAGTCGGATCGTCGCCTAGCAACCTTTCCAGCCAATAGAATGACAGCCTCAGAAAGGGTGCGCTTGTTTAACCCTACTGAGTGTGCCTGTGCTACTACGCCACTTATAAGAGCGTCAGCTGAAACTGCTATTTACAGGAGTTTTGTGGCTGATTGTTGTTTCAAAATAGAAAACATGGTTTCATTTCTTAGTTTTGCCCTGGATTTTGTAGCGTTTGTGGACGCTACGTCGCTACTTGATTAAAACAATAACGTCACTACAGGAAAGTTACTTGATAAATAAAGCAGCGACGCTACGGTCAAGCTACTGGAAAATGTAGTTAGACTAATAGCTTCGCTACATGTAGCGGCGCTACTGCCCATCACTGACATTGGACCCATCCCCATCCCAGGCAAAAAGAGGGACGCATTTGTAGGCCAATTGACGAGGAGTCTTGAGTCCGACCAGACCTCAGCGCCGTGCTGTGACATAACCGGCCTTCGAATCTGGCCTTCAGAAGATTCAGCCCATGAATTCAAACAGAGCCCTAGAGTTCTTGGAAGCTCAGAAAAAATGGTTGTGAGAGTGAAAGATACAAAATAAAAATCCTCAGAGGAATCTGAAACCAGTGGCTGATCCAGTTTTTTTGTTCACCTTTCTAATCCTTGACCATCCTACCTCACAAAAGAAGAAAGTCTAAAATTAGACTAATCTCTATAAACATTAATATGACTATTTCTTTCATCCAGCTTCCATAAGAGACGACCGGCTTTAAGTCACTGATCTCTTTTCTCTGTTTTCTTCCTTCAGACACATGCTGAATGTAACATGGGAGCACAATGACTTCTCCTTCAACAGTAATGGCTATCTGGTGAACCCAGCCATGATTGTCATTACTCTGGACAGAGAGAGACAGTGGGACAAGGTAAGCTTTGGATGGCTGAACAAAGTTCTCTGTACAGAATAACTTCCTGAATGTTTCAGTCATCGCTGCTAAACATGAACCGTACCGATTCCAATGAAGCAGTTAATGAAGCATCTTCCTCTCCCACACATTACAGTCATGCACACTTAGACGGCAACCTTCATTTTGAAAACATAATAGAACAACACAAGAGTCGAGTGACTGCACTTCGATTTATTTGGAGACGGATGTAAGAATATAGCCGAAGTGGTGAATGAGATATGCATCGCTTCCTCCTCTGGTCTGGAAAACATTCACATAACAGCCGCAGGCATTTTAAAACTAATTATGTTATAAAGATAATTTCAGGTGCCATACTTAGTAAATTTCAATGAGTCACCAGGACTCTGAGCTAATGAGGAGCTGTAATGGAAAACAAAATTACTTTTTTGGGGGTTTTTTTTTTTGGTTTTTATTACAAAAAAAAAAAGTGAGTTATATTCTGTCTCAATGATCCAAAGAAAATACTAATATAGTTTGGTGATATGATTACACTTATTGTAAAAATCTAAAGTTTTATCAAGATATATACAGTATCAGCTGGACTGCTGCCATCGACACCGTTGTTTATAGATGTTGGAGCTTGGTCTGTTTTTCAGTGTAGTCCTGTTTCTCTGTGACTAACTGGATGTGCTCTCTTCATCCTCTGACATGGGAGCTGGCTCGGACCTTGTCTGCCTGGCTGTGTGTTTTCTGGATGGGGCCGCCTTTTACAGCTGCCTTTTGTATCTATGCTCAGCAGATGGCCGCTCACACTGAGTCTGGTTCTGCTGGAGGTTTCTTCCTGTTCAAAGGGAGTTTTTCCTCTCCACTGTCGCTACAAGCATGCTTAGTGTCAGGGATTGCTGAAGAGTCAATGAGTCGATGCAATTAGCTGGTTTTCCTTAGATATAAAACTTTGAATCAATCTGACTGGATGATCTGGTGAACTGGAAAGTGACCTGAGATGACATGATGTGAATTGGAGCTATAGAAATAAACTGAATAGAATCAAGATAAAATATGTCTGGAATTGCAAAAACTGATATTGATGAGAAATGCTATAAAAAACAAAAATTAAACTCTTTGATTAAGGGTTGAAAATGTTAATTGGATTGAAAATGATCAACTGATTATTAAAATAGTCGTCAACTTGTGGCAGGTTTCTACATTTTAAGTTAATTTAGGCGTTAATAAACTGTTTCAGAGGAGTGATCATGGCGCTCTGCATCAGCAGTGCTGTGTCTGACTCCCTGCCAGCTCCCAGATCAGCTTCTCTGATTGGTTGATTTGTAGCATCCATCTGCTGCTTGTGAAACGTGTTACACGCGTCAGATGCTCAGAAGCTCATGATGCTCTGCTTCAGCTGCTCGAACGCGCTGCAGGACCTTTTGCTGCGCCTTGATGCGCGTCAACCATTGACTTTGCATGTAAACCAGCTGCTTCTGCTGCCTCCATCGCGTGCGGTCTGAACGCGGCATTTATTTATCTGCATGTGAAATAGAAGCTGTTTTTACTGCTTTGATAAACAAGCACGACGCCTGAGGATAAAGTAAAAGTTTATTCATCCCAGAATGTTTTATTAATTTCAAATTTTTATTTACTTGATAAAATGCCCGTAAGTGGAATCAGAATCAGAATCAAAAATACTTTAATAATCCCAGAGGGAAATTACTTTTGTTACAGGCTCCCGTTACAGTTTTATACAATATATACACACATCCAACTATACAATATAATAAAGATAAAAATAAGAAAAAAAAGAGATAAAATATATAGACATATAGCTCTTCTTTATATATATATGTAGGTATATCTATGCACATGTAAAAACTAAATCCAAATAAAGTGAAAATCCAAGTAAAGTGAAGTGTAAAGTGGAGCAACAGTATCAGAATCAGAAATACTTTAATAATCCCAGAGGGAAATTACTTTTGTTACACGCTTCAGTTACATAGTTATATATATATATATATATATATATATATATATATATATATATATATATATATATATATATATATATATATATATATATATATATATACACACATCCAAATACACAAGATAATAAAGATAAAAATAAAAAAGATAAAAATATATACACATATAGCTCTTCAATGCTCTTCTATGACTGGCATCATAGAAGAGAAAGTCCAAGCACAGATGAAATATTCACACTTCTCCCCCATTTTGTTTTTTTCACCCTTTTTCATTTAAATGTTACGAGCTAAACTCACTGCAGGGCTGAGATAGGATTGCTTTTCTCCCCCACATAAACAATAGAGATTATGTTGGCGAGGGAAAAAAACAACACTTTGTTTGGACACTTTGTTTATTCGCTGGAAGTTATTGACATTTATGGAAGCAGTCACTGAGTTCTTAATGTTAAACAAGAAAATTAGCTCACATTTACGTTGATTATCGCACATCTGAAGGTGGTGAAGCATAATTCTAACACTAAAAGTGCTTCCTGGGAGAGAAGGTTTTTCATTTTGCTGTTATATAAACTTAAAGTAGGTTATACGGGTTTACTGCTCTTAAAAACAAGCTGTCTTTTCCTCTTTTCTTTTTTTTTTTGTTTGTTTTATGTCTGATTTTTCCAGCTGTTCCTTCCTGCCACTATATATACAAATATAACTGGATATTAGGTGATTATGATTAAAAAAAGATTAACAGATTAGCATCTGAGAGTCTAAATATGGTCTATTTCTTTAGACAGCTTGATATAAATTAGAGCTGAAACAATAATCGGATTAAGTGTGATTAATCTATTATTAAAAATAATTGTCAACTGATTTAGTACTTGATTAATCATTACCTGGAGTATAGAGCCTGTAAAACAGGCCTTTAGCTGACAGAGCGACCCACTAAGAGCAGAAATTGTATCAAAAAAGTATTAAAAAATATTTAGCATTTAAGTTAAAAACCTTTCTACCGTCAATATGTTTTATCCAGAACTCCTCAAGTGGAAAAGTTTTAGTTTTACTGGTTTAATTCTGTAAAAATCTTCTTTAAGGAACCTTTGGCTATCTGATTATTCATCAATCAATAGAAAAAATTGTAGACAGATGAATCAGTTCCTGCAACATTGCGTGGACATCAGAGGCAGTTCCCCTGGATTGGAATTATGATCATTCACCGTTATGTTTGAGAATGCTGTGTTCTAGGGCTGCACTAACGGTTATTTTGCAAATCGATTAATCTGTCGATTATTTTTTTCAATTAATAATCGGATGGCGAAAGTTTCCTTAAAGAAGATTTTTACGGAATTAAACCAGTGAAGCTAAAACTTTTCCACTGGAGGAGTTCTGGATAGAGAAGAGTGGCAGAATAATTTTCCTTTTTAACTTAAATGCTAAATATTTTTTTACAATTTTGATATAATTTGTAAAAATTATAACACATTTTAGAATCTCTATGGCCTAGTAAAGTAGCCCCATCTCATACTATATACGGTAACACCTTACATCTCCCATTTAGTCAGGTTTACCAGGCTAGAATCTCTATACTCCAGCTAATGCTTAATCTTACGTAGTTAGTTGCCGACTATTTCAATAATCGATTATTTCAATAATTGATTAATCAGGTTTAATTGTTTCAGCCATACTGTGTCCTAACATCAATAGCCTGTAAAGATTGTGGAAAGTAATACTAATCTAGGGATTTATACTGATCTAAAAAGACAAGATTGCAAACAAACAGTAGTTGATGCAGTTTTATAAGGCTGGACAGTTTAATATCAATACGTACCGCGAGATCTTTTTATTAAAAGATAAAGCAAAGCTTGAGCATATTTTGATATTTTTCAATAAAGGCTGCAGTCTGTGGTTACACCGTTTCTCACTGACTGAGAGAGAGGCACATTTGTACGCCACAGGCTCCACCTGTGGCGTACAAATGTACAAATGATTTGGTGCACAAATAAGAGAAACTAAATTTCAGACCAGAGTTACTAGTGTTATTAAGGCTCGCTGTAACAGCTAAGAAAAAAAATAGAGCTGGGATCTTTTTATTTTTGCTTTGCTGTAGATGAGAAGGTCAAAATAAAGTAAGCCTAATAAAAGAAAACCAAAAAAATCAAAACTAGAGTAGCAGAGGTTTGAGACAGAGAGGAAGAAATGTTAACAGAATGATTTTAGAGAACTAATTGGATTCCTTTAGGTTGTTCCTTTCAGGCATAGGAGCGTTTGTCTTCTTCCACATGTAGAGTGAAAGGAAGAAATGACAAAGAAATTGAAAGAAGCTAGATGCCATGGACTGGGGAATATGAAGAGGGACAGATGATCAGCTGGTTTAATGTGCATTTCATCTGTTCAAGCTTGTAGCTCCCAAAAAAAGATGTTTTTTCTTTAAAACAATGATTCCTAAAATGAGAAAGTACATTGTAATATACATTTTGGTTAAATAATCCAGCTCAAAGTTACAGCATTGATGGCATATTGCTGATTCCCTCTCCCAGAAGTTTTTGCTTTCCTTCGAGAGTATGATGAAAGTCATCTGTTGATATTGATTTTTTTGCTGCACGTTGTGCTGATTCCTTTTTTTCTTTTCTTCACTCCTCCAGGTGGGGACGTATGAGATGGGAATCCTGCAGATGAGATACCCCGTGTGGCCGCGGTTTGGCTCCTACTTTGAGCCTGTGTCTGATTACAGACATCTGACTGTGGCTACACTGGAAGAGCGGCCGTTCGTTATCGTAGAAGCGGTGGACCCTGAGACTGGTACCTGTGTTAGCAACACTGTACCCTGCAGACGACAGTCCAACAAGACGGAGGCGTAAGCTCACTGTTATGAATAGTGTTCCATAAACCATTAAGGAAAGGCAGCAGCTTTGTGCTTTTCCTCTGATCCGTTGAAAATACAAGGCTGAGCATTCAGATAAAGATTAACAGCAGGTCTTATATATAATATGATAAAATCAGAGGGTACAGTGACATTTTTAGTTAAAAAAATTCGCAAATTTGTGTGTCTGTATCTAGTTTTGTGTGTGCAGTGGGATTTGAAAATGTATGAGGAGATTTATCTGTCTGTATGAGTATCTGCAAATGTGTAAAAAATTCACCAATCTCTTTTCAGATCTACGAATGTGTGCTAAGATTTGTAAATGACAAAAATGTTTATTTTTTTACTGATTGAGGCTAAATTCACAGCAAACGTATTAGCTTTAGGTATAGATTATGATCCATTGATTATTCCTTGCTGACCAGACTTTTCCTTTAAAAGTTTATGTTCAATACCATGAGGCCTTAAACAGTAGCAGTTAAATGATGGTAAATGTTTGTTCATTATTCAAGCCTCATTTTCCTCAGTAGAAACAGTGAAGCTAACGTTAGCTTATATCATTCAAAATGTAAATGTTTGGCTTAAACATGTATTTAAATGTGCTCTTTATCAGACGATATTGTCCCAAAATTTAGAAAATTTCTATAAAAAAAAAATCCTGTCTTAAAATCTGTTTTTTTTCGTTATCTTCTGCAGTAGTTAGTTCTACGTCTGCCTGAACACCTACATTCGGCCAATTATATATCAACACTCATCTGTCAATCCAATTTTTTCGGTCATAGCATCTTGATTCATATGTGGCAGCTAATATACGCAACGGTTGAAATCAGAATCCTTTCCTTTCCCATTGAGTTGCGTCCCAGTGTTCACGGGGATGGACGTCTGTGTCTTCGGCAGGCGTAGAGCTAACAGAACTGGCAGCGTTGCGAGGCAAGGGCTCAAACATGTACGGCTGGAAGCCTTCTACACCAAACCAAGCTTCTGCCGCCCTGGCGTCCTCTTCCACAACATCTTCGTCCCCGCTTTCCTCCTCTAAATAAAAAATGGATGACGGAGGAGACTCATCCACGACCTCCGACACTAAACTCTCCTCCTCTTGCATGTTTCCGCTGTCCATAGCGTTCCTTGACAGTGTTGTCTCTAAGGCTACGTTCACACTGCAGCCTGAAGTGACCCAATTCCGATTTTTTTGCCCATATGTGACCTGTATCTGATCTTTTTATGACAGTCTGAACGACACAGATCGGATTTTTTCAAATGCGACCCAGGCCACTTGGATATGTGGTCCTGACCGGATACGTATCTGATCTTTTCAAATGCGACCTGTGTCTGTACGGCCAGGTCGCATTCATCCGACCTACACGTCATTGATACTTGACAAACGTTACTAAACATTACTAATCTGCGTCCTACTAAGCGGAGGCGGGAAAAACTAACAACCATGGCGGAAGATAACACAGAGAGCAGTCAATGGAGAGAAAGTGAGGTTGCTGACTTAATTCATATTTGGAAAGATAGCTCGATTCAGACCAAACTCGAAGGGTCTTACCGGAACCTGGCTCTCTTTCTTTTTGATCTTCGTAAAAAGATTTTGTTCGTAATGTGCCTGCTCCTGTTGCAGAAGAACTTAAAGAACGCAATATACGCTGCGGTATTACGAGTCATGTTTACTTCCGCAAACACTGAGGACGCTTGCTACATGTGACGTCATCGCGTCCTCGAGTGCGCATGCGGGACACTTCGGTTGAACGCTTTCAGTTCACACAGTAGATCACATACAAGTCGCATATACTTGGAAGTATGAACGGACACGCAAAAAAATCCGATTTCACAAAAAAATCGGAATTGAGCATTAAGGCCTGCAGTGTGAACGTAGCCTTAGTCACCAATTTAGTGCTACTTGGTCCTAATGGAATTTCCCATTGGGAACCTGCTAGCACTAAGTTGCTAACTGGTTAGCAAGATGCTTCCGACAAACCGGCCACAACCAAACATTCTTGCTAACCTTCCGCCACAACAATCCCGCCCCCTTGATAAACGACCAATCACATTCACTTTATTCAGGCGTATAAAGTATTGCACCACTCGGGAGAATCATGAAATGCAACGGTTGGAACGGCCGCTTCCCGACCACTTTAATGATGACTTCACTTAAATTTTGCACTTTTGAAGAGAACACCTAAGATGCTTTGCAAATGTTAATAATCACAACTAGAAAGAGGAAGCATTTCCTGAAAAGTAGCCAATCACTGGCCATTTACTTCCTGGTTTCCTCTAGAGACTCACGGGATTCCCGTGGGATTCCCGTGGGATGGGAGTCAGTATTATTAACGATCACGTGATTGGGACGGTACAGGATTAAACATTAACGGGAGCAGACGGGAGCAAACCAATAGTAACTAAAAAAAACTAGGATCGATGCCAAGAAATAAAATAAAATAGAAAGAAAAAAAATCCAGTACTGGCGCCGCCATTTTGTAGTTTTTTTTCCTTGAAGCCTACACTATAATGCGAGTCAAAAAACTACATGACCCAAAAACCAACAGTGCTTCCGCTCTGAGTTTTTCACCCGCGCTCAAAAACAACAAGAATGGGAGTGGAGCAGGAGCGGGAGTCATTCTGAATGGGAGCGGGATGGGAGTGGGAATAATTTCGAAAGGAGTGGGACGGGACAGGATTTAGATTTCTACTCTGGCCCGGGATCGGGACGGGACACCATTTTTTTCTGTGGGAGTGGGACGGGACAGGAGTGAAAATCCACTCCCGTGTCAGTCTCTAGTTGCCTCTACCAGCCAGATCAAAAAGGAACATGCGCTCATTCCTGTGGCCTATTTGCGCCTCATGCTATTGAATCTGCTTGCATAACGTGGTCAAAATGTGCATGGAGAGTAGTTCATATGTGTGCTGGTATGGATATTTATTACATGTGTGCCCTTTTGACAGAATTTTAACTTCATTAAATCAGATAATTTAGTTGATGGAAAAGATATTAACCATGTTTCATTTGATCAATTGAAAGCTGTAATGTTATTCCACATGATTTAGTTCTGTACTGCCACTGTGGCAGAGTGAGTCAGTCATTCAATCAGCTTGACCAGAACAACCCCTCCCTTAACAAACCAACATCTGATCAGTCTAGAGTCCCTCAAACACCCTTATGTGCGAGCAGAGCCATCTTAATTGATTTTGTATCTAACTTGAGAGTGCCATTAGCCATGAGATTAAGAGGCTCTTCCCCTGCCATTAGAGCATGCACAGCCTCTTATCACTCAACGAGGTGAGATACTCATTAGGCTGCTTGGCCAGAGTGCAATATCCACAGGATCACCCAGTGACCCAATCAGGGAAATGTATGCGCTGCATGGCGAGGTATCAATTAGATGGGACGATTAGACCATGTCATCAATCCTTAACACCTAACGACTGATATTGCTGTTCATTAGAAAGGGAGAGAAGCGTTGGCCATTATCCATTACTGACAATGGTGTTAACGAGGTGAAGGGAACAGAAGATGAATATCGCACCCCTTCAGTGTTATGAAGCACTGTGGCGTTTTATCACTCAAGCTCATTGAATCCTCCAGACACTACAAAAAAAATCTGTTAGAGAACCTTTTCATTAGGCAGAACATTTATAAAAAAGGAATCAGTCAATGAAAGGTCAATGGGCTGGTCAGCTTTCAGCTGAAAATGTCTGAAAGTGTAAGGAGTTGGAATGGGGGGACTGTGTTGCTGCCATGCAAAGTGTGTACAGGTGCAATCAAGTGAATAGTTTGGCTTTATTTGCAGTGATGAGTGGAAACAAAGTAGTTTTAAGCCTTTCTTTAAGACAGAAAGGATACCTATTGAATTCAATTCAGTTTATTTCTATAGCGCCAATTCACAACACGTCATCTCAAGGCAGTTTACAGTTCAACCAGATCATCCAGTCAGATTGATCCAAAGTTTTCTATCTAAGGAACGCACTAGGCATGCTTGTAGCGACAGTGGAGAGGAAAAACTCCCTTTTAACAGGAAGAAACCTCCAGCAGAACCAGGCTCAGTGTGAGCGGCCATCTGCTGAGGCCCACTGGGGTTCAAGGAGACAGAAGCAGACATAGAAAAAGAAGCATAGATACAAAAGGCAACTGTCAACCAGCTCCACAGGCGGCCCCGTCCAGGAAACACACAGCCAGGCAGACAAGGTCCAAGGCAGCTCCCATTTCAGAGGATGAAGAGAGCACATCCAGTCAGTTACAGTAAGAGAAACAGGACTACACTGAAAAACAGGCAGATCTCCAGCATCTAGAAACAAAGGTGTTGATGGCAGCAACACAGCTGATATTTCTCTCCAGGATGGAGTCACAGCCAAACAGGAACAGACCAGATGAAGCTACTATGAGAAAAAGCAGAGAGAGCAGAAGGTTAGAGATTGAACTAACAGATTCTGCAGAGTGGGAGAATAGAGATAGAATGAAGCAGAATGATGAAAAGGGGTCCCTATGTCCTCCAGCAGTCTAAGCCTATAGCAGCAGAACTATAGAGATAGCTCAGGATAACCTGAGCCACTCTAACTAGAAGCTTTATCAAAAAGGAAAGTTTTAAGCCTAGCCTTAAAAGTAGACAGGGTGTCTGCCTCACGGACTAAAACTGGTAGTTGGTTCCACAGGAGAGGAGCCTGATAACTAAAAGATCTGCCTCCCATTCTACTTTTAGAAGTTCTAGGAACCACTAGTAAACCTGCAGATTGAGAGCGAAGTTAGGAACATTCTATTCTGGATTTAACAGGAAGCCAATGAAGAGAAGCCAGGATAGGAGAGATATGATCTCTATTTTTAATTTTCATCAGAACTCTGGTTGCAGCATTTTGGATCAGCTGAAGGCTTTTAACTACAGATCTTGGACCTCAAAACAACATGGCATTAAAAATTAGAGAGCCGCATATTTAAATACTTAAGTCCATTAAAACTGCTGATCTCAATTTTCTGGAAAAGGTTTTAAAAAATCAACTCAAGT